GTGGGCGAATCGTCGGTGGGGGGGGGGGGTTGGAGGCCGTCACCATCACCACAACGAGCCACAACCCAGGGAGAGGTCAACAACAAGAGTGGCCTGCTGGCCACAGCCCAGGCTGGGTGCCTTCCACTGGCCCAGTGGTTGGTGGCCCAGTTGGTTGAGGCTGCAAAAAACACCAAATGTTCATTGCACTGGGCCAGTGCAAAATGATAGGGAAGGAGGAGGCTCTCATCCATTCTGCTGTGGGAGGTGCAACCATGAGCTGGTTTCATTCCTCTAAAACCACACCACCAATTCTGCACCTGTGGGTGTGTCATTCCAGACCCTGATGGCCCAGTTACAGCATCATATCTCTCATTATGATGGTATTTTACTCTGCCATTTTCTCCAGATGCTCCCAATTTTGTCTTGCTATTTTTAAAGGAAAACCATTTTTTGTGTTGTCAAAACCATTTATAGAGGCGAAACTCACAAACAAAATCACTTTTCAAGTGTGTTGAGTGTGAAAAAGACCAGCCAGTGATATATTGCCAGCAGTGCAATGCTCACCTGTACTAGGGCTGTAATTGCATGGTCCATGCCTCATGTGTGGCCAGTGCCCATGTCCAGGTCAACATCAACACTGGGGCTTTGGCATTGTCATCTTCACTGAAACTTGTGGTCATTTAAGTGGGGGGTCAAAGATAGATTTTTGATTGGGTTTAGGGGGGTCTAGTATTGTTTTTCCATTGGGTTAGTTGGCTAATGTGTGGAAATCTTGCAGGAAGGAGGGCCACATGGACCCATGGGGAGCTTGCCCAGACTCCCCAATTGGAGGCCACACCAGCCAGACAATAAACACATCAATCTCTTGCCACATCTTGCAGTCACTACCAGTCATCACCACCAGTGTCAAATTTCTCTCCTGCCTTCATTACCTCTCTTCAATCTCTAGTGATTGTTCACCTGGAAACAAGAATCACGGATTTCCATGTTTTTCTTTTTTTCTCGGGCCAATAGGAAACGGCCGACCAGCCAATGAGGGCTACTGACCCAAAGGTTAAGCACGCTGCTTCTATTGGCCAATAAATACCTCTGCTTTACCTCCGAACTTGCTGGGTTGTACACGCCCGAAATTTCAGGCCGAGACTGAATTTCAGTCCGACAGTCGGCCGACAGGCACTTTTTTCGTGTTTGCAGGCGCCGCCCTACGGCTGACCAAGGGAAGAGAGAAGTTGATGGCAACGTTTGTGTTTGCGCAAAGTGTGGTGGGCATGCGTCAGCAAAGCAGCGACGTGCAGAAGAGGGGGGTAAGGGATGATCGTAAAAATCAAGGTGAAAGCTGTTAAGGCAAGAAAAGCAACTACAAGTGGTGGTTGGTCTTGCGCGGACCCTTGACCTCAAAGCAGCCCAGGGTGTAATTTCCGATTCTGAGCGGGGCCACGCAGCAGGTGTTGTCAGGGCAGAACCCGATGTACCCGCCGGTGAGGGTGGAGCTCGAGCACTGATTGCCGGTGAAGAAGAAGGTCGCCCAGCCGACAGCGCCAGGCTGGTTGACATACTGGACGAACAGGTTGGTGAAGTCGGAAGCCAAGTAGTAGCCGGAGTAGGCGTAGCAGGTCGATGTATTGAAGTTGTACACCACCTTCCCACCGCACGTCTCGACTCCGTTGGCCTGATTGCATCCGTTCTCGCTGGTGAAGACCACCTTCTGCACATCGGCCGCACTCCGGAGCGGGTCGAACGCGACGACGGCTGAGCGATCGAAGGAGGAATGTAGCGCCAGCGTTGAGGAAACCAAGAAAACAACCGCCAGCGCAAGCAAGATGGCCATCCTGGCGGAGATAGACATGGCGGTGGGGGTAGGTGAAGGTGGGAGCGAGAGGAGACGGATTGAACGAGAATAAAATGTTATTCAATGTTGACTTCACCAGCGTCGGCAGTAAAAACAGATTGGACAACTGCCAACAATGTCAATGTGGCCACGAGGACAGATAGTGAGGACCATTGGCCTGACACGTGAGTTTGATGTTGCCCCGATAAAATAGGACCCCCATGGGGGTCTTTGGAGTGTGAAGCTCTACATTTTGTCTGCCTCCCACTCCTGCCATGACCAACTTTGTGTCTCTCGTGCTGCTTGTGTTTATTGTGACCATCGCCTTTTTGGCGGCCGCGCCGGTGGCTTCAGCATCCGTGGCTCAGAGCAAGGCCCCTGACGCGTTCCTGTTGACCCTGCAAGCGGAGTGCGGTGCATATGTGGCGCCGCTCGAGTGCTTGCCCTTCTTGACGGCCTTCAAGTGGCCACTCTCCGTACCCCACCCACCCCAACCACTTGGCCTGGCCCATTGGGATGGAGTCTCACCACCCACTTTCTTGCTTGCAGTCTTTCCGTGTGGAGGGTCCGGTTGTTCCCTTGACGCAACCGGTGGTGGTGTTGCAACCGAGCGTGACCAGCTACGTGCTCTTCAATGCCAAATACACCACCAACTGGACTGGTACTTCACTTTTACATGCCTGGTTGATCACAAAGCAACAAGAACAATTACTAAGAACACTAATCATTTCATCACCATCTGTAGTTGAGGTCAACTACAACGAGCCGAACCAGCCAGGCTTCTCTCTGCACGCCTGGTGGATCAAAACGCCCTTCACCTCGGACGGCCTTTTGCCAAAGGTGGACCACCCCCACTTTAGTGTGATTGCGCCCTTTGCCCCAGAGCACCTTCCCTGTCCCGGCGCTGCTGCCGATGCGAACTGCACCATGGCGTTCTTCCCCATTGTGATTAGCTACAACGGCGGTGGGCTGAACATGACAACAACCTTGTCAGCACACAAGGGGATCTGGATATAAAGTATTTTGCGTTTTTATCTTATTTTATTTTATTGTGCTTGTTCAAACAACAAGGGCATGAACACTGCAACAAATAAGTACACAAATTGCCTGTGCTTACATGCCCCTGCACCCCAGTGTGTATTTTTGATCAACATATCCCTCTGGTTGGGCAATGTAGATTTCTTCCTGGATTGGGGCATGAAGAAAGGCTCATTTGACATCCATCTGGTGGATTTCAAGACAGGGTGTTGGCCAAAATCAAAGAGTCTCAAGAAGGACAACTGGTGTGAACGTCTCATCATAGTTGGTTCCCCATTTTTGGGTGAAATCCTTTGTGACAAGTCAGGCCTTGTTGCATTTGATCAGGCCACTTGCACCCACCAGTCAAAGGCTGCAACCAAGTGGAGGAAGGCCACCAACAATGAGATCCTCTCCCTCATCTGCAACAAGACTTGGTACCTCTGCCCTCAGCCTGTTGGAGCATGTGTTGTCATAACCATGTTCATCTACAAGCTCATCATGGTGTCCCTGTAGCTCAAGGGGGTATAGAAATTGAGACTTGTGAGGTTGATGAAGAAAGCTTTTTCTTGTTTGGTGGTGGAGAGTCTGAACTCTTCAGACTCAACATCAAACAGACTCTCACACCAAGTATTACATCATCCAAGGCTTCACAGGCACAGAGGTAGTGCTATCCTCTTTCTCCCCATGCCCATGCAACAGCAGCAGGCTGAGTGGCATAGGGCAAACCAAGGCAAAGGGTCAGACAATGAGGCATGACCTTAATATGGCAAAACATAGAAGGAGGTGGAGGCTCCCCAACTGTTGGGGCTTGTAGGTGGGAAGTGGGGGTGACTGGTGTGATATGAGGATGTGGTTTAGCGCAAGCAGTTGGTCCAACAAGATTCAAAAATCTGAAAGGAATGGATGGCTTGATGTGGATGGGTGGCATGGTGGAAATGGGCGGCTCAAAGTGTGTGGGTGGCATGGTGGAAATGGGTGGCTTGAAGTGTATGGGTGGCATGGCAGAAATGGGTGGCTTGATGTGGACAGGCAGCACAGCAGAAATGGAAACACTAGGCTCTACCAGCCTTCTCAAAGTTGCCATCCAGCTTCTTCCCCCAAGCATAACCACCAATTTTGCCTTCACCCACACACCAGCTCCCAACATCAACCTTCTTCTCCATTTCAGCCACACATGCAAAGAGTGCCTCCACATCATTCCAGACATCACACTCATCACCACAGGGGGCCATGACAAGTGTAGTGGGCAACAAACTTGGGGACCTCAGCAACATTGACAAAGTTGAGTCACTTGATCTCATTCACACACTTGTTGCAGTTCAAGGCGACCAGGGAAATGGCAGAATGCACACTTGATGACACCAACCTTCTCACCACCACCAGATTTTACAACAGTGTTTCCTTCAGATCCTATTCCTCTTCCTTCTGATGTCAGGGTTTTTCATACTTGGATTTGAGGCAGGAGAAGACAAGACTGCAAGCATGTGGCCCTTCAAGAGTCTAGGTTTGTTGGTCTCAAGTAGCTCTACTTCACACTGGACCAGCAGCAACCTGATGGTGGTCATATCAAGCTACTTGTTGACTCCACCAAGTTCAATGTGTTTGACAGTTGAGGGTAGTCAGCATGACAGCAACGCCATGATCATCATTCCCACAGTTGTTGAAAATCAACATGAAGTGCAAGCTCTTCTGTGATGATGTTGAGATGATTGAAGTACATGGTGAGTTCCTCCCCTTGCCCAAGCTTGAGCTGGTGTAGGCCACAGGCAATGTTGAAAAGATGCTTCCCCCTTTAATGGTAGGTATTTCTCTTGAAGAAGCTTTAGTAGCTTGTGGAGGTTGCACAGGCCATCAGAAAGGTGCTGCACCACCATCATGATCATTGTGTGGATCAGGCTGAAAGCATGCTGATGATGGGAGTTGAGCTTGGGCACCTAAACTGCCTTGAGGGTCTCAGATGAGAAGATGTCATCATTGTCTTTGTCCCTGAAACATCTGACAACATGAGAAAACAGCTGTCCATGACAACCATACAAACCTAAATTGTGGCCACAAAGCCCATTTTCCGTTAATTTTCCACCATAAAATTGAGGGAAAATAAAAGATAATATTGCGCCCAAGACAAGATGGAAGAGGACACAAATAGCGAACCGCACCTGTGGGCGCGCTACGTGAACCCGGTGCTGGCCGGCCTCTACGCCGCGGCGGGGCTCGACAAGCGGTTCGTGCGGGCCGACGGCACCCACCTCGAGGACTCCACGGGACGGCGCTACCTCGACTTCCTCGCCGGCTACGGCAGCGTCCCGCTGGGCCACCACCCGGCCGCCCTGTGGGCCGTCGTCCACGCCGCCGAGCAGTCGCGCGAGCCCATCTTTTCCATCCCCGCATTACTCGACGGCGCCGGCCGCCTGGCTGAGGCCCTGGTCAAGGCGGCCGCGGCTGAAGGCAACAACAACGACGACGAGGCAAAGCAGCAGAGGCAACTGCGATTCGCCATGTTCGCCAACAGTGGGTCGGAGGCGGTGGAGTGGGCCATTAAGCTGGCCCGCACGCACACGCAGCGGCTCGGTACCTTTCACAGACTGCCTGCGCTGATGACTCCTGCTGTGGGACTGACGCGTGTGTGCGTGTGCGGTGGTGCGTGTGCGGTGGTGTGTGTCGGGCAGGTGTGCTTTCGACGTGGAACTCATACCACGGGAAGACACTAGGGGCTCTCTCGGCCAGCGGGCGCACCCAGTACCACGGCTTGGGCGCGCCA